CATTAAGAAATTGATTTTTTAAACCAAACTTCTCCCCCTTTTTGTTATATCAAAAATAATTCGATCTTTGAAGTTCAAAATAACTTTGGAGAGTAAGTAGTAAATTTGACATTTAAAAATCATTTGAAAAATCAAAGCCCCCTCAATAAATGCATTCCAAACAAAATTTAGTTTTTAAGAACTTGACACTTAAACAAAATTGAATTTCAACAAAGAATAACAAACATGTTAGTAGTACATGAAATTCAATATATTCAAGTCTAAAATATTTTATGCAATATCAATAGTTGAAATTAAGTACATATGCATAAAGTTTTCTAAAAATGTTATGCATTTAAAAAAAATTGATATCAATTGTTAGAGAGATATCATTTTCATTTAAACCATATGCATAAACATTCAAATTTAGGTCAAAAGTTTAAAATTTATAAAATCAAATTATTTGAAAAGTTGATATCAATTGTTAGAGAGATATCATTTGCATTAAAAACCAATTTTGACCAAAATTCCTTATGATGAACTAAAAATTTTGAAAAATCATTAAATCTTTAAAATGTTTATCATAAAATCTTTTTAACATACATGAGATTAAAACAATAATGTATAATCATTTAAAACAAAAACTCATGCATGATTAAAATCAAATGAGCAACCAAATAACCAAAATTAAAAGCATTAAGCTTAGAGGTTACCCATTCCTTTTTCATATGTGGCTAGAGCATCTTGAATATCATCATTTTCATCACCATTGCTCCCACACACCTACAAGAGACATTTAAGTGGATTTTGGTATCCAATTTGCTTTGGATCCTTGAATGTTAGTTTCAATGCCCCTTGTTCCTTTAGGAACCCATACTTGTCTAATTTTAAAAGATTTTCTTTTCTTTATAGGACAAGCATGTTCCAAATGACCATGAAAATGATAATGTGAGCATTTTGCCATTTTTAAACATAATACGTTGTTTTTAGAAATTAATTTTTTTTCTTTTGTTAAGATTTCAAGCTTAACTTCCAACTCAAAATCTTTTTTTTCTAAATAATTTATTTTGATTTTTGAAAGCTCTAAATCATTTTTCAAAATTAACTATTGCTTTCAAAATCGATTTATTTCCAATTTTGAGTTTTGAAATTAATTTTGTATATTTGGAATTTATGGTCTCAAATCTCAAATACAACCTATTATAAGCATCTTGTAACTCATCAAAAGTAAATGAGTTAAATTCATTTGAGTTAGAAGATACCTTGAATTCTTCATGAGTGGCCATTAGGCATAGGTTGACTACTTCATCATCATTGGGGTCATCTTCATCACTTCAAGCTGCCACATATGCCTTCTTCTTGGAAGATCCCTTCTATCTTAGAAGAGGACAATCATACTTGACATGCCCCATTCTTTGACAATTGAAGCACACCGGGGGACTCTTCTTCTTGGTTGATTCATGTTTTACTTCCTTGGAAGTCATGAATCTCTTTAACTCTTTTAAGAGCTTGACCATCTCATCTTCTTGTTCATCGTCTTCTTCATCAACCTCATCACTTGAATCTTGATAGCTTTCATTGGTGGATTTGAAAGTAATGCCTACCCCTTTTTTCTTCTTCTCTTCATTTTCTTCATCTTCCTTCAACATAATCTCATTAGTGAGAAGAGAACCAATCAATTCATTGAGAGTGAGAGACTTTAGGTCTCTAGCTTCGATAATGGCGGTCTCCTTCGATTGCCACAAACTTGGAAGAGAGTAGATCATCTTCCTTATAAGCTTCTCATTAGGGATTACTTCTCCAAATCCCCTGAGACCGTTTACAATCACAGAAAATCTATCCGTCATAGCTTTGATGTCTTCATCGGGTTTCATCTTGAAGTTCTCGTAGCTATGGTTGAAAAGACTTTTCTTTGATTCCCTCACTTCGTCGGTTCCTTCATGAGTGACTTAGAGCTTATCCCAAATCTCTTTGGCACTAGAACAAGATGAGATTCTTCCATATTCATTTGGGCCTAAAGCACACAAGAGAATATGTATAGACTTAGAATTAAGCTGTAACTTTTTCTTCTCTTCATTACTCCAATCGTCGTATTCACCGGGTGGAGTGAAGTAACCCCTCATGATTGAGTTCCAAGTCCTAGATTGTAGGCTCGAATAAAGTACTTCATCTTATTCTTTCAATGTGCATAATTTGCTCCATTGAAGAAGGGTGACTTGTTACCGGTTGTGAATCTATAATAGGTAAATCTTCAATGTAATAGGCGCCAGAGGTTAAAGCCATCTAACGAGTCCTAGATTATAGACCTTCTTCGAGGATCGTCTCAAGGATGTTAAGCCTTCCAACGAGTCAAGCTCTGATACCAATTATTGGAATTTTACGGAAGCTCGAATCGACAACTGAAACGGTTTGCAAAGAGGGGTCAGAACGGTTTTTGTGTTTAGGGAGTAAGGAGATTGAAAGATAGAAAATTGCACAGCGATTTATAGTGGTTTGACTTCTCAACCAATTCTACATCCACTACCTTAGCTCCTTGCCAAGGATTTTCTAACAAATTCATTAATTTTTTCTTTCTTTTTCAAGGACAAAGAGATAACATTTACAAGTCCCTAGTTTTTCACGGGCTAAACTAGAACCTTTCCCCTAACTTTTCACGGGCTAAGCTAGAACCTAAACCCCTCTACAATGAAAGGAAATGTAAACAAGAAAACATCTCTAAGGTAGGTGTTTACAAACATTAAGCTCACAAGAACAAAATATTTACGAGAGAAAGCTGAAATAAGATTGAAAAGCTCTTCTCTTGTGTTTGATTGCTTGGATAGTTGTTCTCTCGCTTCTTCAAGTGTTCTTAGCTTGTATTTATAGCTTGGAATGTGTTTGAAGTCATATCTAGCCATTGGAGATGTTTTGGAGTCGTTTGAGCATGATTTTTCTACAAAAATAGGCTTCCCATAACATGGTGTATCGGTACACTATCAAGGTGTATCGATACCCCTTCATTAAATTCAAATTTTATGACCGTTGGGCTGTGTGAACAGTAGCAGTATCGGTACCCCTATAGTAGTATCGATACCCGTTTTACATTCGATATTTTTTAGTATCGGTAATGTTCATTATTGTTCACACAGTATCGGTAATGTTCACACAATATCGATATTGTTCATTACTGTTCATAAAAACATTTTTGTGCTCAATTCCAACTTAAACGGACTTTGAATTATTTTTGAAACCTTTTTAAAACTTTGAATAAATTCAATTTAAGTCCAAAAACATTTTACTTTTAAATTTGTTATATCGAAACATAATTTAACACATGCCTTAAAGGATTTTCCTAAGACTTGCGCAATTCTCCAAATCTCGGGGCTCAAAACAACTATTATTGATTGGAAAGGGGATTCTTGCAAGGACTGGCTGGAATAGGTTGCTTCATAGTTGGATTTAGATGCACTTTCCAAGCTCGTTATGCTTCTTTGGAACATATGAAATCGAAGGAACAAATGGTTGGATGATGAAGAGATGCAAGAAGATATAGATGTGGTGGTTGTCGCATATGGACTTTGTGTAGAAATTGTTGAAACCAACTTTTTTGAAAGTTTCCTCCCACACCAACATAGGTCGATGAAAATTCACCGCTGGAGTCGTTCGAAGCCAAACTCAATCAAGATAAATGTTGATAGAGTGTTCATACCATCAAACGCCACTATCGTAATCGAAATTGTTGCCTGAGATCACAATGAAATGGTTCTTAGAGGAACGTGCCGCCAAATTGATCCTTATGTATATATATGATTGCGTCATATTTATCACGATATAAATATTATGCATAATTTTAATGATGTTTATAATGAGATTAGGGTATGATGCGGTTAGTGGTAGATTTAGAAATACTCTTGACGACGGAAAAATATTGTGATGGATGGAAATGTATTCCAGCTTTAAAATAAACGACGAACATAAAAGAAATTCAGATTTTAGATTACGTCTGCCACTATTTGTGATCCTAATCTATATGATGCCGGGAGAAGGATGTATAGAGCTTTAGAGATTAACAAAATCTGTACTTAGAGAATATATTGTTTTAGCGAAGAAAAATCCGAAGCAGCTGATGAAAGAAGGTGTCAGGAATTGGACAATGGAAGGAGAGACCTTTTTGTTTGCACGTAAATTCCATCTTCATTCAATGTGTGTTTTGTGTTTTTATGTTACCGCATGGTTTTGCCTTGCCTACAATTTCCCAATTCTGAGCGCATGCAATTTGCAAAGTACACATATACTATTTCATTAATCAAAATTATTTGAGAAACATGGTTTTATATCATCCATATTTATCTTCCTGAAAAGTGCATCAAATCTCCTTATTTGGTTGAATGAAAATTCTGCTCAAATAAGAATTTTATGATAAACCGACCCAAAATTTTTTATTTCAAAATCAGTAAAAATTATGTGAAATAATCTTTATATTTATCTTTAGTACATACATTTAACATGAACTAATATTCTAGAAATTTGTAGCTTAATTTGAACGAAATGGGCAGACAAAATAACTCAAAAAATTGAGGTTGGAATTGCTGAGATCAATTCTTTACAATGATGTTGGAATCCAAATAACTCAATTAGTTTGTATTTAGTGAGGAGGATAGTGCTGAAAATTTTAAGTCGTTTTATATTTTAAATAATTTTATATAATTTTTATTAATAATATATTCTGTCTCTTTTAAAATTTTAAATTTTGTATTCATCTATGTTCCTGCTATTACGAATCAAATAGGATCCAAATATTTGAGCTGATCCCATGTCTCAATAGGTTAGAGGCTGATGAGAGAACAAAACAGAGCAACCAAAAGATCCAACCAATTGAATTTTTAACTTTTATTGGGCTGTAATTTGTTATATAAATTTGATTGGTAAACAATGTTGATGCTTTAAGAAGCAGAAGTAACCGACAACAAACATTATGAAATTATAAAAGAGGATTAAAGGAGAAAATATTACACAGATATACTTATTATGTATTCATAAAATTATTTCAACCGGATATCATTCAAATCAAACCAGATTTGCTTGAAAACCTTGATGATGAGACCATGATATTCATGGGAATTAAGGGCAAGATAACAGGCAAGCAAATCTTCTAAATCCTTTGATGCCCTGATGTTGTTCTCCCTAATCATTTCCACCATTGATTCTCTGAAGTCTCTCTGAGGATTGAACGACGACTTCACCACCACGAAACTATCCGACAGACTCCTCCTCGACCTCGACCTCGGACTCGATGACACGCTTTTCTGAGAATGACCCTGTAATCTTCTGCTTCCGATTTTCGGGGAGTTAATTCTCAGCCTTAGCCCTGGAGAAGTCACACAAAATCTCCTCCCCGGACACGTTTTCTTGTTCAAGTATGAACTATGAACATTGTTTTCTTCAAATTTACCTGAACTCCTTCGATGATTTGTTGGTTCGATGTTCTTATAGGTGGATTCAACAGGCTTGGTTATGATCCGAGGGAGTTGAAGTTCAGAAAAATTGTCAAACTCCTCCAGCTTGTTGAATTTCTTGTTGCTTGCGTCATCGACAACGACGATGTCCTTGGGTTCAGAATCCATGGCTTTGCAGCTAGAAGAATGCGACATGGAAACCATGTTATCGAACGATTGACTCGTGAGAACGCAGTCGGACCTGAATTCTTGCGGCGGAGAATCAGGCTTTGTCCAGAGTGTGGCACTATAACGACAACCGGAAGAAACAGAGGAGCTAACAAGCTTCCTAGAAGAAGACCTGATGTTTCTTTTCCTGGATCGTTTTTGAGATGATTTTCTCGGCGGGTCAAGTAAATTGGAACCTGAAGATTTGTTGTCTATTGTAGAAGAAACATAGAATCCATCACTGGGGACAAGCTCTCTGGTGAAGTAATAAGATTTTCTGGGATAAAAATGGTGATTCTGCTTGGTTTTTGATGGCTGTGATATTGACGAAGAAGGTGATGAAATCTGGTGTTGTTTGTATGAAGAATGGACATGGTTTCTGGGTTTGCCCATGTCTTTAAGCTTGTAAAAGCAGGCATTGGGCATCATATCCGAGAACCGAAACCTGTAATTTCCCATCAAATTTTCTCTCCTTTTTTTTCCCGGAGAAAAAGGGAGGGTATTTGAAGAACTAAAGGCAACAAGGGTGGGGCCATGTGCTAACTGAGTTGAGGTGTTTGTTAATGGAGATTAATGAGTAATCAGAATTTTTTGTAGTCATACTCATCATTACTGTTTTCTTATACATGTTAAACAAAGGCGATTCTTCAATGTTTTTGTTTTAGAAAATTTTGCAAGGGGCCCCCGCATCTATGATTTTCGTACTACCATGGTTGGTTGGTTTATGTCTTCTAATCAATTAGATTGCTTTTTAGATCAATTAAGCATAACCCTCTATATTATATATTTTATTTATTTTAATTTAGCATGGTTGTCATATCAATTCGATTGAGTGAATTAAAAATTAATGATAATATAGTGATTAAATTGATAGGATAAAATTAAGAGTCATGTGAACGGTTAAAAACAAAATATGAGCTAAATATTGATGAGTCAATTAATGGAATTAGTTTTTTCATTTTTTATAAGCTTTTATTGTATGAAAAAATTATTTAATATACATATGTTTTTAAAAATATATATAATAGCATGAGATACTTATAAAATAATATTTATTTATAATTTATTTTAAGTACTGACAACGCTCACTCTATAGATTGAGTTATTCAAATTAAATGGAGAACATCACTCCTTTAATTTACACAAGTGTATTTATTTTAACATTACATGTCCTATCGATGTAAAGTTTATGATTTATGTTTAAAATATAGGATTTAAAGTTTTAAATTTTAAGATTTAAATAGGTACGAGTATGACGATGATGTGCGTGTATAGAGCCTTTGTCTTCAATCAATCAACAAGTGCATATTTAAAAAGTTATATTTAAACATTTGAAAAAAAAAATTATATATAAACAATAAGAAATTTAAGAATTTAATTGTCAAATTTATTGATTTTGACTTGTCAAAGATAAGTCTTGAATTTTATCCGACTAATGTCAATATGACAATAAAAGACAATTTTAGATATTGAGATTATGAGTATTTCACAACATAGTAATTATATTTGACAATTGTATTGATATTAGTTAATCAAATTCAAATACATCTTTGAGAGCTCAAAATCAAAAGAGAGCTCAAAATCAAAAGTTTGACTATGAGATTTTAAATCTCATATTGTTATATATGATTTTTTTCAAGTGCTTAATATATATCATTCATTATTTAGGTGATTGGAGACAATATTTATACATATACATCGTTGTTACCACCTGATAGATTCCTGCTCATGTAAATATGTGTCTTTAACACGTATAACACAAATTATTTTTTAAATAAAATTTATATAATTTTTAAAATTACTTTTAGCCCATTATTCTAACTTTTTTTCATTTTATTTTTTAAAGGTTGTTCTTGTTCGAATATTTTTCGTGTCATAATTGTATTTGAATTATTTTATATTTATAAGTTTTTTAATAAATTAATATTTTATATTTTATAGATTTTAACATATATATACTTATATACATTCATATTGTTTGTTTTCCATATTGTATTTTCTTTAAAATGATTTTCTACGTAATCTCCCCTACTAACTCCATCCTCATCCTTAGTGAACGATTTGCCTAATTGTCTGAAAAAATTATGATTAAAGGTTAGAAAATTGCATAATTGATAATTAGTTATAACCTAATTCATTTTCGTTGAAGGATTAATGTTTTGAATGAATAAGAATAGGTAAAAAACAGTTTTCTACTTTTGCCCATTGCTACGTGTGATTATATACTACGATTACGACACCAAATAAATAAAATAATTAATTAAATTTTCAGATACATTTGTATGCATGTGAATGATTTTCAAGGAAATGTATAATCAAAGATAAGTATGGGTTGGTTCGAGTTTTTGGTTAACCCAAACTTAATTTAAAAAGAATAAACACATGTGATATGTGTCAAAGGCATATATTTGCACGAGCACAAGTCTGGCGACAACGTTATACACATATTAGTCTTATCTTTAACCATTAAATTAATGCATGTTTAAAAGGTTATGTTTAAACACTTGAAAAAATTTCATATCTATACAATGTGAAATTTAAGAAATTCATGGCCAAACATGTTGATTATGACTAGGGGTGGGAACGGGGTGAGACGGGGACAGTTTTGCATTACCTATTCCGTCCCCAACACTTGTATGTACGATTTTGGGGAATCCCAATTATATGTTTTGGGGATTTTTTTTCTTCCATTACGGATCCCTGCGAGTTTCGGTTAATCTCATCCAAAAAATAAACAAACATTTTTGAAATTATTGCAACACTTTAAACTTGTAAGATATATCAGATTGTCTCAAATTGATCTATATCTATAATATGAAAGTTTCAAACGTCAATATTCATCTAACACCCAATATATATGTACAATCTTAACCATTTTTGATCTAAACAAATCAATGTATATTAAATGAGAAAAGATCTAAACTTTAATTTTAGTTCCTTTGAGATACAACAGTGGTAACACATAACCTCACAGATATTTTTCAGGGATCTCCATGGTTATTTTTGTAAAATATCGGAGATCCCTATGGATATCTTTCGGGGATCCCCATGGTTATTCACACGGGTATTGTTCGATTATCCCCACGGTTCGGATATAACAATCCTTGTCTCCATCCCTATTTGAGCTTTGGGGATAAAATTTCCCATCCCCGTCCCCGTGGATGAAGATTTCGGTTATTCCTTATCCCGTTGGTTCGAATCCCCATAGTTTTTTATTTTTCCCCACCCAATTGCCACCCCTAATTATGACTTATCAAAGATACCCTAAACTTAATCATATCCTAAACTTTATTAGTTAATTGTCTTATAAAATACTCGAGATCGTAGTATCAAAAACTTTATCTATCATTTTGTCATAGGTTTGATTGAATTCGGGACTTGTGTTTGACAACTAAAAAACAAACATATTTAACAATCCACTCTTTTATCTAGTTTGCGTTTGACTATAACATGAAATAAATTCAGATGTGATCATACGTACATAAAAATCAGGCTTAATTATAAAATTAGTGTCCAAGATACAACACTTTCACAAATATGTTTAAATTTTTTGTAACACGTCACTTAATAGAGGAAATTAACGCCGTTGACGGTTTGAGCACCTGAAGTGGTAACGTTTGTAAATTTAACATCATTCAAAAAATAGTTTAGGCACATATTCGTGAAAAACACTATAATTTAGACACTAATCTTATATTTAAGCCTAAAAAACCAAACAAAAATCAAAGATAAGTCAAAAAGAAAAGCATCCAACAACAAAAAGAAGTTAAAAGGAGAAGATTTGAGAGTAATAATGGAGCTGAAAAAATTATGGGCAATCCCTATCATTTCCATGTTCAGGACATCATTAACTTAATAAGCAATGATAGCAACTGCACACTACCTTCATCTCGTCAATCATCCATTCATTTTGGTGTTGATGTGCACATGTACATAAATTTCTCTCGAGCTTGACGGTACACTAGCAAATACTCGTCTGTCTTCCATCACGATTTTATCGAAAATCTTTTCGTAAAGACAATATCAGGTATCGTGTTAATCTTATCTGAGATGGATCATTGATTTTAACAGGTTGAGATTTGTACAACCAGTTTCTTGAGAAATTTGTGTATCTTTTACCTTAAATGTGGTAAGGAGTGGGGGACCTAATGATTTAGTGTTATACGCAGATTTCTTTTGCAGTTAATGGTGAGTTTGTTGAAATATTGACGGAGGACAAAACAGGGTTATCCTTTTTTCTAACTCAGAGTGTGCTCCAGTATGTGACAATCTTGTACTGCCTATATGGTTTTGCTGGCAGGACTATTTTCACATGTACTAGGGCTTAAGCGTAACAAATAGTAATTAAAGGTGTGGTCCTAAAGTTGTTTTTTTATATGTATATAATGTTAAAGTTCACCCCCTTTATGTTTAATGTTTTGATAAAATATTTATTTTAGTTTTTATTTTTTAAAGTATTTTGATTTTTAATATTTCATTTTGAGGCAAAATGTTTCTGGTTAGATAAAATCAGTAATTGACTAATGATCAACACATATTGTTAATGTGAGACTGTCACATGATGAAAGTTATGACGTATAACCTATCACATGTTGAATACGATTACATAATACATATTATGTATCAAAAGTAATGATATAATATATGTCACATCTCAAAAGTTATCATGTGATACATATCACGTATCAAAATATTGACTCCTAAAAGAAATAAAAAGTGATTATACATACATTGGGTAATCTCTATAGAAGGTAGTAAGACCAAATTTTGAAAGCAATTTAACAAAATAGAAAGTGATACAAAGAACAATCAAAGAATGATTTAAGTACAATTTTACACTCTGTTTTGAAAACCAGACCGGACCGGCCGGTTCAACCGGGAACCGTTGCTTAGTCCAGTTCAATCTAAACCGGTTGAACTGCTATTAGTGAATCGGCCAGAACCGCTGAACCGTTCGAACCGGACCAGCTGAAAACCGGAAAAAACGGGGAAAAACCGAGATTTTTGTTTTTTTTTTAAAAAATTAAACCAAACAACGTCGTTTGTTAAACGAGCCAAGTCGAACTCGAGTATTGCTGAGCTCAACTCGAACTTGAAAACTTTAAAAGTAGCTCAACTCAACTCAAACTCACAAGCTAAAAATTATCAAGTTCAACTCAAACTCGAAATATAATATTGAAACTTGAACTCAAAAAGGCTTGAACTCAAAAAAATATTAGAAGCTCGATTGAAGCCTAAAATTCGAGCTTGATTGAAGTAAAAGAATAGATATATAATTATAGTTATATAATTTTGTTATGATTTTTTTAACCCCAAATTTATTTTTTAATTATAGTTATATAATATTATTTAATATGTTTTACCTTAAAATTATGTTGTAGTTAATTTGAATCATTTTGTTTCACTTAATTTTATGGTTTTTAACTTATATATGTTATGACTTGCTTTGAATATGACTTGTGATATAAAAAATTATTTTTTATTAAATATTTTT